TTTTTTTTAATATTTATTTTTTAGTTTTCGGCGGACACAACATCTTTGTATTAGGTGCTGAGGATTGAACCAGGTCCGCACACGTGCCAGGCGAGCGCGCTACAGCTTGAGCCACATCTCCAACCCTGAAAATAATTTTAAAAGTGCCTCCCCGTCCCCAGCACTATTGATAAAGTCAGATTCAACCCCTAGGAAACTGCAGACATGTGCCATGTGAAGTCAACTATTATCATGAAACATGGAAAAGATGTCTAAAAATAAGACAGCTGTTAAATAAATCATGTTTCACACTAAAGAGCAAAGGTACACAGGGATTGTTACCCAATGAGTAGATAAAAATTCTAAGAAGACTGTAACCCCAATTCTTCAAATAAGTGTCTGTACACACTAGCATTAGAAAGACCCTGAAAACACACCAAAACATCGATAGTTGCTATCTCTGGAGGCTGGGTGTTTTCATTTGGATGTGAGCTGTCCCCTGAAAGTCCACATGTGAGACAATGCAAGAAAGTTTGGAGCGAGAAATGATTGGGTTATAAGCCTAATCAGTGATTAACTGAAGTCATAGGGTATGGATGGAGGAGGCGGGAATGGGGACAAGGCTTTAGTGTATATATTTGTATCTGGAGAGTGGAGTCTCTCTGCTTCCTGGTTACCATGATGTGAGCTGCTTCCCTCTGCCACACTCTCCTGCTATGATGTTCAACCTCACCTTGAGCCCTGAGAATTGGAGCTGGCCTTCAATGGGCTAAGACCTCCAAAACCATGAGCTCTCAAATAAAATTTTCCTCCTCTGTAGTGGTTCTGGTCAGATCCTTTAGTTACAGCAGCGAAAAAGCTAACTAAAAYAGTGGGATAAAGGAAAGTTTCATGTATTTATTCATTTATTTATTTTAGTACTGGGGATTGAACCTGGAGGCACTAGATCACTGAGTCACATCCCCGGTCCTTTTTATTTTTATTTTGAAAAAGGGTCTTGCTAAATTGCTGAGGCTGGCCTTTAACTTTTGATCCTCCTGGCTCAGCCTCCCCAGTTGGTGGGATTACAGGTTGTGCCACCATACTTTTTTTTTTAATGTAAATTTTGACACTATAAATAAATAAACATGTTAATTTATAAATATGGGTTCTCAAGCCTTCAGCTTGGTTCCAGGCTAGCAGTCCTTTCTTCTAGTGGTTTTTATAAGCCAAGACAGCCTATCAGAGTTCCTGGGGTTCCTGGGATGAGTGGGCTGGTGAGGAGGGCTCCCCAGGACTTCATATGCCAGCTGGCCCTCAGGGACTTCTTCCCTGAGATTTTAGGGGGCTTGTGGGCAGGCTTCTCCCCAGCCAGGTCCTTCTGCAGCCACATCCAGCTTGGCATTCCTGAGGCTGGCCTGGGGCTTCATTCCCTGGTTCAGGCTAGGGGAACTAGCAGACCCTACCCCTTGAAGCAGGGTCACATCTTGGCCAATCTTAAATGAACAGCGAAAAAAACTCAACCTATCATTTTTTTTTTCTGATCAGAAGTTAATA